ATATATATATATATATATATAAATGCATGTGGGTATAAATAGATCGTGCGTCACCAAAGTGGACATCTGCACTTAATGTCCAACCCCAGAATCTATGTTTCAATCCTTTAATTTCAATTTCAGTCCTTTAATTTCAATTTCCCATGCCGCGACCGCAAGCCAGATAAAACAGCAACGTTGGACAAACCTTGTGCTCTTTTGTGAAATGGGACAGACTGCCAAAAGAGGAAACCTGTACACATCTGAAAGGACAGGGGGGAAAAAGATGGTTTGAAGGACGAACCACCGAGGCCAGGTCAAAGATCTTGCAGACAGGTCGTCAAAAACCCTGGATTTTATATTTTCAGAAAATGGGGCCAACCTAGGTCAGCAGCACGCAAGAGAGACTAATTCAGTTCAGGGCTGATGTTAATGCTGAGAAACCTTTGCAGACTTCTGCACTGAGCATTGTCCTAATAAAGATCTTGCTGGAATATGGGTTTTGGAGTACCTTTTTAAAAAAAGATATCTGGAATGGATGGTGGCACAATGTGTACAGAGAGTCCCCGGGTTAAGAACAGCCAGTTTAAGGATGAACCAATAGTTAAGAATGGAGTCTATTGTAGCAAAATTCGAGTTAAATACACAGTGATTCAAGTTAAATACACAGTGGTTCAAGTTAAATACACAATACTACTTATACAGTATTATATAATAATACTGTTCTGGCTTATATACAAATTCAACTTAAAGACAGACTTTGGGAATGGAACTCGTTCTTAAACTGGGGACTACCTGTATATACTTGGGTGGACAGTCCATGGCCTGAGGACAGTCTGAGTCACTTTTTTGAAGCCCCAGAAATGACATTGAGGAAGTAGGGTATCTTCCAATTGTTTTGGACCGTTCTCACAGCAGAAGTATGCAACACGTTGCAAATTCAGGATAAGACAGGACAGCATTTCATTCTACGTTGTTGAGTGTTGCCATACAGATTCATGAAAAATGAAAAAAAAATCAAGCACCTTGCTCTCTCTCTTTTCATTTTACAGACCCCAAAGTAGGCAGACCAGATTGTTCATGCTAAATTCTAACTACCACCCAACTTACTGAAAAAATGGCCAAGGGGATTATTTTTAAGGATAAAATTCCTATGGGGGAAAAAAAGGAAGCCACAATTAAACACTCCTACCTTTTACTCCCCATCCAAAAATTGATAAGGTCGATATCATGGCAGGATTTGGCCAGCAAAGAGAAAGAACTTTCAGCTTCGTTCCTCCAGTTGCCCCGGACAAAGGAATGGGCAAAATGCCAGAATCCTATCTAAATGAACAAGGAAAAGAAAAGGCAAATGATACACTAGAAAGGCTGGTGGTTGAAGGCCTTGTAATCTGATGACCGTAATGCAGTTTTAGAGTTATCTGCAGCCCGGGGGGTCAGCAGCTTATAGATGCTATGGTGGATACATCTTGGTTTCTTAGCTGTTAGTTAGAGCTAGTTAATTTGTCTAGCTAGTTAATAGCCTAGTGGTTAGAGTGATTAGCCTGAGAGTGGAACAGAAGGAGTCTTTAATCAGCGCAAAATCTCAAAACTGTAAAAAAACGTGTACCTATTAAAAAATGAAACAGGAGAAGGCGATATGGGAGCAAAGGACATGCTTTCTCAGATAAAGTACATTTTCTTAAGAGTTCTTACAGGCTCCAGATGTTGAATGTGGCAGATGTCCCCAATTAAGCCAGCATCGAGCAGTTCCTAAAGAACAAAGAAAAGCTTGATTTTAATTTGTTCTTCCAGTCACATTTTGTGGGATATCGAGTTCATGAAAGTGGCTCTGCTTATTCTCGTCTAGAGAGAGTCCTGTAAAAATGGCAATTTTGAGAAGGGGCACCTGAGCTTGCTCTTTTCCTCCTCCCTCCCCCACCCTTGTCCTTGTGTGCCATGTCTTTTAGGGGGTCTTTTAGATTAAACTTTATCGGAAGCTTTTCTTTCGAAGTTTGGAAGAATTTTTCTTTCAAAAGATTAAACTTCCAGGTGAAAAGGGATGTCTTTCAGATTAAACTAAAGGAAAGAGTCTGCTATCCAACATTACGAGGAGCCTTTGGGATGAATATCTGGTAGAAAACGTCAAGTTAAAAAAGACACAGAAATATAAAACGAATTAATTATTATCTCGGTGGTTTTTGGAGTGCATTGTTTCAGGATGTAGATTTAAAATTCCAGTATTGCCTGTGAACCCACTGGATAAAAAGGAAGATATTTAATTAAAGCAGAATCATAGAATGGAAGGTTGGGTGGGGACTCGGAGGTCATCTAGCCCAACCCTCTGCCCAGAGCTAGCGGGGATCATCGAGGTCAGCTAGTCCACCTCTGTCCAGGGTAGGAATCATTATCAAAAGGAGGAACCCTAAATATTAGCAAAGGGATCAGGGCGTAAAGAAAGACAGGACGAATATTCTGCACCTAAAAGACGCAGGCAGAAACTTGAAAACTAAAACACCTCTTTCCCCACCTCTGTCTCAAAATCTATTTCTCCATCATGACGCTTTTCATTTTTTAAAAAACGTGTTCTTGATGCGCTCTTTAAATACGTATTTTTACAGGCCCCAAGTCCGATGCCTACCGTCTCCCTTTAAAATGACCGGCAAACCCACATTAGTCTGCCGTCGAGG